ACAGTTCTGCTGTTACGGGCCGCAGGTCAGTGGATGCAGCAGCAGACGTAGTCAGTGACAGAGCCAACACAATGATGTTATGGTGCGTTATTTTCATGATGCGTCTGCGTTTCTGCTTTCACAAGCATGTGCTGCCAAAATCTAGGTTTCAAGATGGAGGGTTTTGAGATCAAGGTCAAGTTAGCTCATTTGCACACATGTAGAAAGCCATGTGAGAAAGCCTCACTGGCCTCTCTTTTAACACAGCAGGAGAATTCAATATTCTGTTTCTCACTCCATCTATCCCTCCCCGGCAGCACCACACACTCACATGCAGAGTTCTTTTTTTTTTTTTTCCAGTCAAGCAACTCGTTGCCGGTGTCGACCACAGCGCAGCGAGCTGGAACCCCGCTGGCTCGGCCTCTGTTGATCAATCAACACCTGCTAATGGAGAGAGAGATGAAAGAGGCAGAGGGAGGGAAGGAGGGAGAAAGAGAGGGATAAACAGATAGCTGGATGGGAAGGGAACCCACTGATATGGGATTTGAGGGCAGATAGTAAAATGTCACGCTGGGTTTGAAAAACTTAAATTGACCCTGTATCTGACGGAAAGTTCCAGAAATAGTTCAGCTCAGAAAACTCTCTGAAGCAGCATTTACACACTGAGCGACACACAAGAGGCTCCTTCTACCGCAGGACAACACATCGATAAAGACCGTTTGAGATAGAAACTATAGCCGGGTTTGAATGTTTAATGCTTTCCATCCACGATCATCATGCAAACATTAGACGAGTTGGTTCTTCAAGATAAACAGTTGGTGGAGCAAATTGTCCGGCCAGGTGCCACGTTCCTCTCACTTTCTTCATGGTTTATTTCCCAAGTCTGGGTCCATTTCATTACTGTCATCATTACCTGCTGCCACCTGAACAGAATCAGGATGCGTTCAGGTGGAAACCCAGATAGATAGATAGATAGATAGATAGATAGATAGATAGATAGATAGATAGATAGATAGATAGATAGATAGATAGATAGATCAAGCATAAGGCAGGCTGTTTTCCAAGATGGCGGCAGAGATTTAATAATTCAGTTCACCGCAGGAGGTTCCTCTTTGATGTCTCACTTTGAAGAGTGAGAGCATCCCTCGCTTTCCTCTGTTCGTCCTCTCATCCCTTCTTCACGTTAACCTGCTCACCAGTCGGCCTACATACCCTCTTCCTCCTCCTCCTCGTCGTTCCTTACGTCGTCTCCTCCCCGTCGGGCTCTCTGTGCGTTCCGTCTTTGCATATTTCCGATTGCGAACTTCCGATTTAAAGAAATACCTCACAGCTGGAAACGAACACGAGGGAGAGACAAAGGCCACAACAACACGTAGAAACAGTGCAGAATGTTAAATATTTCAAGTGGCTGAGAACATGTGGAGGAGCACCTGTGTGAAGTGTGGGTTAGGAGTCACTGAGTCCCAACGGGACACAGCAGCAGAAGAACAACAGATCTTGTGGCACTTGAAGCTCCAGACTGACAAGCAGCTGCCGGCTAACTGACCCGACCGAGTGCTGCTAGACAAGCAGCACAAGTGGCCCGGTGTGATAGATGCCAGTTGGTAGTAACATCAGGAAAACAGCTTGAACAGACGTGGAAGGTGATGGTAACAGAGCATTAAAGGGCCTCAGATTGGAGGTACAACATGGAAGGTCTCTGCCCAGAAGAGCGCAATCCTAAAAACGCCAAAGATACTGGCCAGAACCCTCAGATACCCAGGCCCCTGTTAGAGGACAAACCACATCCCCAGTGTGGAGGACTCAGTCTGGTTTACATGAAGAGACAGAAGACACAGGGACAGACTCCATGGTTTGAGGTCAGGACTTCGTGTCCTTGTGGCTGATGCTGTAACAACATCTGCAAACATCTGTCGTGGAAATACACCTGGCACTACAAGTATCATCGACATATATTTCCAATAGCTTTAATTTTGTTTTAATTGAAGCTTATTTTACTGAGACAGAAGACTAATTAAATGAACAGTGTATAGCGTCCTACGGTTAGCTGATAGCTTTCATCTAAACACAGTTTATTGGCGTTCTGGTTGTTCGACTGCAGTTAATTTCCATCAACAAAGGTGAAGCACACACACACAGAGTGGCAGCAGCAGCAGCAGCAGCAGCATCCCTTTAATCTTACATGCTCTATCATCTCCCAGGACCCCCGCGGTGACGCCACAGAAACTGTCACATATTTTAACACGAGCATATCCACAGATACGAGCACTTGTTGTGTTGAAAGGAGCTGGCTGGGGTTGTTTGGCGCCGGAGGGAGCGGACACGTGCACACGTACACGCAAACATGCACTTTTGTCTTCATCATTAAGCAGACGAGTGATGTTTCAAGGTTTTGGTTTCATCTGACGGAACAAGGGTTGGATGGTACACAAGAGAAGTTGCTTTAAACAATGTTTTTTAGTTCATTAGCGCAATGAGGGGCTGCAGGTGGTTAGCAGCGTCGCCTCGCAGCTAGAAGGTCGCTGGTTGGCGTCCCGGTGAGGACACACCTGGGATCTGTCTGCATGGAGTCTCCATGTTCTCATGGGTTCTCTCCAGGTTCTCTGGCTTCTAAATTGATTGTAAATTGTCCGTAGGTGTGAATGTGAGTGTGCTTGGTTGTCTGTCTCTAAGTGTAGCCCTGTGATAGACTGGTTACCTGTCCAGGTGAACCTGCCTTCACCCTGAGTCAGCTGGGATAGACTCCACCCCCCACGACCCTAGTGAGGATGAAGGTGTAGAGATGATGGATGGATGGATGGATGGATGGATGGAAGCTGTTGCTGTTCCTCTACCGTGATCTGGATCAGCTGGCTCTTGTGTGTAACGCTCACACCAAATCGTCAGTTAACAACCTGAATAACGTGAAATCTTTCCGATGAATCATCCGTCGTGCCAGATAGCAGCTTTGGCTCTGTCTCTGCTCGCTGTAAAAATGCTTTGTAGCCTCATTACATAACTTTCAAATTACAATCCAATCGAAGGAGAAGCCCAACGACAGGGTGTCAGTATTTATATCAAAATATTTAGTTTCAAGAAAATACCAGTGCCACGTCTTGGTGCGTCGGGAATGACAGCTGTGGTAATAAAATCTCACGTCTCACATTCCCACGCTCTGGATCACAGACATTAATGCTAAATAGAATTAGTCTGCTTGTGTTTTCTCTCCGCTGCGTCTCGTTATATCATCTCTACGTCCTGTCTCCACCAGGTATACTGTACAAGGGGAACGGTGAGAATATCTTCATTTCCCAGCAGCCCCCTGTCATCAGCAGCATCATGGGTAAGTAGGCCACAGATTTAAATAATATCTGAGCACGCACATTCATCACCGGTGTTAATCAGGTCATTGCATTGATGCGTTGTCTTAAACAAAACAAAACAAATATGTTTTAAAAATGAAAATGTGATCTCTCACATTAAAGAACTTACTGTGTAATATTAATTCATGTTTACACAAATATTTCCGTTTGCATTGAACAGATGAAAGTCTTGAATTTAGTTATAATCCTGTAACAAATATTACACACCGTTAGTGGGAAGACTGCAGCCTCAGCGATTCATCTTATATTTAGAGAGGATGAAGGATTTCTTGGATCAGTGTTCAGTTTTGTTACGAGGTCGTATCTGGAGGCCATCAGAGGAACTTCCTTCTTCTCCCAGTCTTTACTCATTTCCTTCAAAGACTGAGAACAACTGCACAAACAGTGAAGCAGAAGAAGCTCTGAAGCTGAGCAGTAATTAGTTAACTCACAAACCACTGGCATTAAAGCCACACAGTGTTCGGCATTTATTTATTTCAGTGCTAAACAGATTCATTAGACCTCCACCCAGTCTGAGGTTTATGGCACAGCTGCTCTAAATTAGCAGCACTGGTAATCACCAACATCAGTTTTTATGTTTCTGTAATGGTCAATACAGCAGCATGTAGAAGCTCTTTAACTGAAAGGATGTTTTTTATTTGATAAAATATAATTATTATTGTTATCCATGAATTTTCAAGTCGACTGTTTTTCAAAAAAGTTAAAAACTAGCAAAGCCCATTATTATTTCTTGATGAAGATGTCTAATTATAATCATTAACTTGCATTCCTGAACAGAAAAAATAGTTTTCGTGGTTGAATGTGATACTTGATTCATGTCTGACGTCCAGCAGCTCAGATTTGGTTTAAAAAGGTGAATTCAGTTTGAATTCCTCATTCCTGTTCAAAACGGTAAAACATGGAGAGCTCACTGAAAATAACTAGACAGGTGGTCTGATAAATGTGTTAAGCGCTGTGTGTGTGTTTCTAAACGTCTGTCCATGATGCCTCATAGGGATCAAGTGTGACCAGCTTTAAGATAAGATAAGATAAGATATGCCTTTATTTATCTCACAGTGGAGAAATTCACATCGTTGATAGCAGCATTCAACACAGGTACACATATACGAGACAGGAAAAAAATAAAAAGTAAAAAATGTACATATAAATATAAGAAATAGTGCAAACAAGGAGAGTAGTGCAAAACAGAATATGAAAAATGGGCTTCTTTCTGTCTGTATTCATGTTTATATTCAAATCACTATGAGAGATTTTGAGGCATCTTTACCAAATCACATGGACCGTACCAGAGTCCAGAGGAGAGATGCCAGCATTGGCCAGTTTATCTTTTTTGCTTCTCAGTCATGAACTGATGGAAAAGCTCTTTACAACGTTCACCCAGAGCTGCCGTGCAGGACGCTTGTCGGGGCTTCAGTGTTTTCACCCGACAACACTTCAGCTTCTGACGGGAGCAGAACATGTTTTTCTATACTGTGAATAACATATAAGTTATAACAAATGCTTAAAGACTTTTTCAGAAAATAATTGCTGCAATCAGTAAAAATGGATTTCGTTTCCCAGGAAATGGTCGCCGCCGCAGCATCTCCTGCCCCAGCTGTAACGGGCAGGCAGAGGGCAACAAGCTGCTGGCGCCCCTGGCTTTGGCTTGTGGAGCAGATGGCAGCATTTTCGTTGGAGACTTCAACTACATCAGGAGGATCTTCCCCTCTGGGAATGTGACCAGTGTCATGGAGCTGAGGTAGGAGGGAGGGAGGAGGAGGCTGGCTGCAGCTGCAATGGCTGCTCCTGGATCAAGGACTTGTTCCTCATCCAGAGAACACACGTCCTCGTGTCACACCACCCACAGAGCTCACACTCCGTCTTACAGTGAAGCTTTGTCAGAACTGTTTGGTCCAGGTTTCTCCGAGGTCATTAAACGTATAAATTATGTTAAAGTTTGTTTGAGTAAAACAAGATAAGACGTAAAACATTTGTCAGAAGGAGCTGAGAGTTGTTGGTTGTTAATGAAAACCTCCCTGCCTCAGCTTTTCTGGGCATCTTTCCTTCCTGCACTCAACTGTTTAGCTCTGCATCGCTGCTCTTGGAAGACTTTGGAGCATTGATTGAAAACACAAAAAAAAGAGAGATGGATGGATGCACGGCCAGCTTGGACACTTTGCCACTACAGTAATAAACATTTGAGCACTTAGCGCTTAGCCAAAGCGCTGAAAGATTAAAGGATGCTCTGAATCTGGAAGGAAGTCCAGCTTCGTGTCCGGACTTTATATGCATGCCCCTGCTTGAATGTTCATGTCTCAGCTTTCCAAATCTAACAGCCATCTGAAACCTGCTTCCCAACTTGTTTCTGTGAATTCAGTTTCTACCTGTTGCTTCTCTTCCAGTAGCTTTTTCTTCATCTTAATACCTGTCAGGAACCGATCTGTCCACTAACTCTTTGTTTCTTCTCTGTTTTCTTGACTTTGCTTGCACTGTGTTAAAGAAACAAAGATTTCCGACATAGGTAAGACTCACTAACGTTTCATTCTGAGTCACTGGATTTCATTCTTATTTCATTTCTGTCTGTCATGATAACAATTCACTCATTCAAGTACATCTGGAAGCATAATTTTCACCTCCTGAATACGGTCCTGACGCCATGTGACTCCCAGCAGAGGCAGAGAAAAAGTAGGCTTGACATTTGTTACCGTCACAGTAGGACGCGTCTTACTTCTTTCTGCCTCCTTCTTTTTTCTTCTCCCTCTGTCTCATTTCCTCCCGCTCTCTAATCTTGACACGTGTTCACACAAACTCGAGCCCATTCTTCTGCTGTCAGCTCAGATGAACAGCACCATCATCACTTCAGTAGCAGCCCCTAGCAAGGAGACCCTGCAAGGAGAGAGGCTGGGAGGGGGGTTGGATCGGTGCTAGGCCAGGTTACCGGTCCTCTCTGTTTTATATTCTAGTCTCTTTATCCGTCTCGCTCTCTCTCTCTCAGGTGCATCCTCCTGCTTTAAATTCTTTCAAGGTCGTAGCTGTGTAGGAGAACATACAAGCAGATATTTTTCAAGTTTTACATAATTTACACATATAGAAATACATTTTACATAAATTAATTTGTCCCCGCTACATTGTGGATGCAAAACTCTGTTCTATCCAGATGCTGTAAAGATGAAAACATGCATACGGCACCTTTAATAAAGTCCTGAATCAAATAAAACTGTACGGTTTGAAAACTGTCCTTTCCTATTATATCTATTTCTTTGACTTTTGCTAGTGAGGCTTCATACAGTCGTTGTGGAGGACATTTTATTTATTTATTCTATTTACACATAAAGAGTCTGTCGGCCACCTCAGGAATGTAAGAACAACATCTGCTTCTTTTGCTTCTTCAGGGTTTGTTTAGTGGAAAACAGCTCGCGGTGGTAACGGACATAATGGCGTCCTAACAAACCAAGACAAGCGTTAACATACATCACACGTACTTATTTTAGCAATTCAAATCAAAAACATTGATGAGTGCAGCTTTAAGTAAAAACAAAAGAAAAAAATGAACCAATACAATATTGTTAATTTATCAGCTTTTGTTTTATTTCTGCTTTTGGCAGCGTTCTTGGTAAAATCACTTCTGCTTTTTTATCTCTGTTCCTTCGTTGTGGCTTGCAAAAGAAGCCCAGCATTTTCCTACATGTGTGCATTTTTGAGGGCATTTTCGTCACTGAATGGCGTTCAGTCAAGGTTCCCATGCAGTACGTTCCCTCTCAAATCGTTCATATGATCTTTATTTGGCAATCTATCAACACTTTCAACACACACGGGTTTAGTATCGAACTCATCTTCTCTCATGTTTCATTAAAAAACATGTGCTGAATGTTGCAGTAAAGTCGTTTTCTTATTTACAGCTGAGACGACCTTGCATGCCAGATCTTTTACTCGGCCGGACTTCAACGCTGTAACTGCTCGTTAAGCAACGTTTTAAGTCTTTGCATTAAATATCAGTTTTTACTTTTAGCTAAACTGGCTTAAATGTTGTCTAAGAGAAGGGATTACGTGTTGGTTGCACATCTGATACCCCTTTTCCACCAAACTGGTTCCATGCTAGTGCCTGTCTGAGCACCACGGCCACCAGCAGCAGCTAGCGCAGCCTGCTATGTGGGGCGTTCAGGGAACATCGTAAATTGTAGAATCTATCGATAAGACAATGTTTAGCAAGTCCTATGTTTTGCCTGTGACCAGGTGGGAAGTGCAGCCAAATAAGAAAGTTGGTCACACCAGTGATAAAATCAGTCTGGAGTCCTGTGTGGACTCTGTGTGGCGCCAGCGTTGTTCGGTAAACGTCTACGTATGCAGTGACGTATGGCTCTGACTTTGCTCCTTGTTGATGGAAAAGCAGCCGGTTCTTAGACTGGAACCAACTAAGCACTGGAACTAGCACCTGGTGCTTCTTGGTGGAAAATGGGTATGAGAGCACAAAAACAACATCAGAAGTTGTCCAAGACTCCATTCTTGGGTCTGTTGTGCCCGACAGCTACAAAAGCAGCATCTTACCACAATCAGCAACTGGATGTTGGAGAATTTCTTCCAGTCACAAAACAGAAATAACTGGTGCTGTAACCGAAAAAGAAAGATCAGAAGTTTGAGTCAGGGTTATGAACTCAACATGCCGGTTCTGCCAGCTACCGTCTTAGGAATATTTCAGCAGTTAAAGGCCTCGTGTCTCAGCAGGACTTAGGAAAGGCTCAACTCCTGCCCTGCTGTCTTTGCACGTCTCTCTGAACAACACTGATCAGATGTGGTTCAGAACGCTGCTGTTGAGGCATCACGAAGACATGGACAGTGGACCACATCACTCCAGTTCTGGGATCTCGACTGGCCAAAGAACGAGCTCTAAAATTCTATAAAGCATTGAAAGGTTCGGGATTGAAAGACGTTTCTGATCTCCAGATGTGTCAGGAGATCTGGGACAGGTCTGCTCACTCTTGTAGAGAACAAACTTGTGGACGACTCGAGGTCTTCTCTCTAAAGCAGTTGTTTTAAAACTGGGCTAAAGTTTTTTACACTGCTGTCTTGTTCTAGTTCAGCTCATTGCCTTTTATAAATTCTACTGTAGTTCACCCTTGTTTTAGTGTTTTATTCATTTATTTATTGAGTTAGTTAGTTAGTTAGTGGGTTAATTTTTATTGTAAATTTAACAGCATTACCCTTAACAAAGGACTTCTTTACCCAAATGATGATCTTGCAGTTGACCTAATCATCCAAATCTATCCGAGCGTTGTCGCCTCCAAAAGCAGACGGATTTTATGTCAGTTTTTGAAACGAATTGACAAGACTCAGGTTTAGGATCCAAACGCAGGACTCAAGAGTGGAAGTGAACAAAAGCATTTATTATTTATTATTAATGGGGGAACAGCTGGATTAAGGCAGAGCGAACAACCAGGACGACAACAGGAAGTAGAGCTGACAAAAATAACATGAAAACAAGACTACAAAATAAAAGCTGCCAACAGAAACAGGAAGACGAGACAGAAACAAAAATCTAACTCGATCCCAGAGTGAACCATGACACGAATGATGTCTATCTACTATTGATATGGGGCACTGAATCAGAAAAGAAAAAGCTTTTTCCAACGAATGTTCGTTCATCTTTTAGGTCTGGAGGGCTCACTGATGTATTTATTAGCAACTATATGAAAAATACTATCTAAATGAACTTGCCAACCCAAACCCCCACCATCGAATCCACCGCCACGGCGTCCTCAGCATATCCATGCCCACTCTGTGATTCAGGCGGCTCCGTCTCATCCCGTTCCCAAACTGTTCTTCAAGTCCGTCTTCTTTCATATCCGACACACAGCCGAGCAGCGCCATACCTCGAGTGTCTTTTCAGCTGGCAGCGTGGTGATTGGATTCACGTTTACAGCTCGTCCAAATGTACTTTTTGATTATATTTCACTTTTTAATTAAAACACAATTTCTTCTGAGGAGGACCAGTCGTCTTGTCACCAAGTTTTTTCCTTCCTTCAGCTCCACGTTCATGTTTGTGTTTTCTGTTGTCGTCCATCCGACCGTCGTCTTTACTTTGTCCTGTGCTCTGCATCCTCATTCTGTGATTGCCTCCATCTCTCTGTACCACTTCTCTTTTGTTCTCCTTTAATCATCCTTTCGTCGAGGGCTGGGCCATATCATACCGTGCATGGTAATACCGTTTTTTAATTTGCACCAATAAAGTTGTGCAGTTCTGAACTATATCGTCAGTTATATCGTGAAGTCGTCTCATCTGTATCGTGATAAATATTTTTTTTGGCCGTGTCACCCTGCCCTACTTTTGTCTTTCTACTGCTGTCCTTGCTCCTTCCCAGTTCTCATTCAGTCACATCTTTTAATATGTGCTGGCATGTTTAGATGATCAAATGCCATCCACATGTCAAGTTCCACCTCGGGCTGCGTTTCTGTATTCAGCTGAACGCAGACACGCACTCCGAGGCATGTCTTAAATAGGCCTTGTCATCAAAAACATCCTCGCAAGTTGTTCTGTCGGCACGTGGGAATACAGAGCTGAGAACTGAACCTCATTAAATGTTCGGAAATTATAAAAGTGGAGCCTCAGTCGCCGGGATGCCGCCGTGTTTAGATAATAGGATGAGGTGGAAGCAGATAGACAGACAGACTGACTGCTTCCTGCTACCTCCGGTCAGAACGAGCAGGTCGGTTGAGCTACCTGACGGTGTTGGTGTTCTTCCCTCTGGGTTTGCCTTCTCTGTCGCGTGGTCCCTCTGAAACCTTGGAATTATCAGTCGTGTTGCTTTGATTCTTCAAAAGATGTTGGCGTTACTGTGATTTCTCTCCGTAAATAAAGATAGAATGAAAGCAAAGGGGCATGCTTATCGGTACATGAGAGCTCCACAAGCACACAAAGTCACTCATTCACACACTCAGGGCGTCTATTTTTAGCCGTCTTAATTAACAGCCTGTGATCATCTGCTGATTATCACCAACCACTGAGACTTTAGGCCAGAGGCGTATGCATGTATATATGCGTTCTAGCATGTGTGTGTGTGTGTGTGTGTGTGTGAGTGTGTGTGAGTGTGTGTGTGTGTGTGTGTGTGTGATGGATTTCGCATGACAGCATGGCAGGCGTTATCAACACAGACAAGTGATGGCCTATTGCGCCCACGTAGCTCCGTCCAGACTGACAAACCTATTTTTAACGTTCTCTCCCACATAAAGACACGTTCTCACTTATCGCGCCGCCTCTTGAGTCTCAGATGAAGAATCCTGAACACGTAGACTGAGACGCAGACGTTCTTCCTGTTCCCTCTCCGTCTCACGCCACCCCACCGTGGCACTCCACTGCCTGAGAATTAACAGCTTTTCAACTCACAGGTCGTCAACCTGCCGTTCATTCATTACTTCTTCATCATCAGGAGCTCGAGAAAGTTTCCTTCTCTCATCATTCCCAGCTGCTGGAACCAAACTGTTGATGATGATTTCATTATGAGCTCATAACCTACTGGTGAAACTGTAAAAACCAAATACAGTCGTGACTCGATGATTCGACCCTTAACAATCCTAAACCTGCTGACAGGTTTGTAGGAAAAACCAACAGAACCCATAAAAACAGCCTTAACATAGCGACAGCCTTGGATTGTGACTCCGACATGACATTTAATGTCACCAATCAGGATGACGGCGTATTATCTGACTGAACAATCCCACAGATTGGCTACGTTCACACTGCAGGACTTGATGCTCAATGAGGATTTCTTTGTGACTTCCTTCACGTTTCCACTTCAATGCGACTTGTATGTGATCTGCTGTGTGAACTTCATACGACCCAAAAGTGTCCCGCATGCGCACAAGAGGACACGACGACGTCACACGCAGCGAGCGTGCTCAGTGTTTATGGAAGTAAACATGGATGGTAACGGTGGAGCGTATCTGCCACTCCCCCGCCGCCACCGATGGAGGAAACAGAAGTGTGAGCGCTAACTAAACTAGCATCAGCAACCAAGTACTGCCTGTGTGTTCTGGACACTTCCACCCCGTCAGAGCGCTGCCCCGGGGTGGAAGTGGGCAGAACGTGCACCAGAGCACCGGTCAGTTAGGCTGAAGTCCAGCAATGCGTCGTGTTCTAACAACACACTAGTTATTATAACAACTATGAACAATAATGAACAACTAATGAGCCTTCCAGCATCAAGCCCTCCTTGTATCTGGACCTCCGTCTGGACAATCTGACATAAAGAAGGTTTTACATTTAGTGTCGGATCATCGAGTCACGACTGTCCCTTATTTTAAAACGGCACCTTGTCTCTTTAAATGGACGTTAGATTTCTTTCATGTTTGGAGTCAGATGTTGGGTCATGTCCTGATGTGCTGTAGTGGAAGCAGCCGTCATCATGGATAGTTTTAGTGTCTGTGTTCAGGACTGGCTTTTTATTAGTCTTTAACCGTTGATGTCAGAGATGCTGACCTTTTTCTTCTTCTTGTTTTTCTCGTGTTTGTTGCCTCCCTCTACAGCAACAACCCTGCACACCGTTACTATCTGGCCACAGACCCGGTGACGGGGCAGCTCTACGTGTCCGACACCAACTCGCGACGAATCTACCGGCCCAAGATGCTCAGCGGCGCCCGTGACCTCATCAGTAAGCATGAGCTTCCCAAGCACAGTACCACGTTGGCAGGATAAACACGACAAGTTGTTTGAGACGCTCCAGTTCTGTTCACTGAATGCCTGTTGTATGTATGTGTGCCTTCAGGTAACGGAGAAGTCGTGGCCGGTACAGGTGAGCAGTGTCCTCCATTCGACGAAGCGCGATGTGGAGACGGAAGAAAAGCCACAGAGGCTCAGCTACTGGGACCAAAAGGTGGATACACAAACATGCACAGGCACAAGTGGAGGGTTGTTATTTAAACCGATCCAAGAAAGTCTGAGGAACACAGCTTCTTACATACATACATCAATGACAGAACCGAAATGCACGATTGTTTTTGTGACAAAGTGAATCCACGAAGGAAAGTCTTGAGCTGTGCACGTAAACGTTTGGTCGTGACTGTATGATTAATAGTCAGCAGAAAGATATTGTGAATTTGTTTTGGTCTGAATATTCATCATCACAGATTCTTGCATTGTGTGCTTGATGAGGGAACACAGCGACCACGGTGGTCTGATCATGTCCCTGACGGTCGATGTGGGTAAACGAATATCTGGGATAGCATCACTGCATTATTGTAGATTTAATCTACAGCCTCCTGGGGTTACATATAGCAGCGCTGAATTTAACTACGCCACTGAAACGCAGCTCTGGCATGTTATTGAAGTGCATTAAAAAACTTAACCACACGATATACTGTCTGACAATTACAAGATCCATATATGTTTATGGGAGAAGTTATCGGTTATGTCCGTTTGAGAGGACAAGGCGTTATAGCGTACTCGCTTTTATTACCGCTTTGGTTTCAGATAATAGGAGTTAACATGTCACAGAGTAATGCAATTTGTGGACAGTACTTTGATATCGTTAGCAATAAAAAGCAGCGTCCCAGAATTCAGTGAAAGTTTCCACGTTGTCCTTGAACCACACTGGATCTTATTTTATTTCATTTTATTCTCCTGAAAACTGTGATGTTCATGAACAAATGGCTTCATAAATTACACTCACGTCTCTCTTTCTCTGTGGTAGGAATGCTTTCAGGTGAACTGTTAGCATGATCCTAATAATAAAAAACAATACATGCTTAAGGTGCTTGTTAAATACAAGTCAACACACTCCTCCTCCTGCAGCGATGTGCAAATGTTCCACCAGCAGACTCGTCTCTCTGACAAGTCGGTTTTGGTTTTATTGTCGTTCTCCACTGATTTCGGTGGCTCATACGACGGTGTAAGAAGCTGGACGGACAGCTGAGTTTGTGGTATATTATCAAAAGCTGTGGAGGCTTCTGTAATCTGCAGTCTGCTCACATCTCTCCCTGGCCTTTAAAAGCAGTGCACTCTCTGCCACAGCACTCTGACAACACGCCGAAGCAAAGAACAGTCAGTGTCCCTAAAAAGAGACTGCTGCAGAATCCCCACAAGCCAACGTACGGCACCTTAAATGAAATAAGCTCGGGAGGAGATGACACATTTGGTTACCGCATTGCTCTGTTTCTGTAGGACGACTCCTGTCCTTTGCAGGAAACAGTAGGAAATTGATGGTGAACCACGAGGATAAGTTAACTGTTGGAAGCCATCTGAGCCTTCAAAGACTCAGTCCCTGACAACTGCAGCAATTTGGTGTAAGATGGCAGTTTTTCACAGTGCAGCAGAATTGGCTCTGATGCTTTAAAATTGGATCTGTCCAGGCATGCAAGGTAGCTCTAGAAAACATCTCAGGAAATAGCTCTGAGAGGTGCTCAGCGTCTCAACGGTCTTTCACTTGTTGGGCTACGTTACCATCACAACAGACTGAACGTATGTGAAGATGGACGTACCGTGGGATGGACACCAACGTCATATTCTGACAACATTTTCAGGTGTTGACTTATTCCATAAGTACGTACCAGCGATGTTACGCTACAGGTATAGGTACAGTTTGGTATGAGACATTTGGTTTGGTGTAGTATTGAGTACACCCTGGTCAGATGATTTATACCAACAGCACTGCTGAAATTCTTGGCAGTGTATGTTTTTCCTTTACTGTGTTCTTTGTATATTATTCATCCTGAGTCCACCACAGGAGTTATTTTAGTAATCACCTGTATGAACCTGTATTAACCTGTGTGTGTGTGTGTGTGTGTGTGTGTGTGTGTGTGTGTGTGTGTGTGTGTGTGTGTGTGTGTCACAGGGATTGCGGTCGATAAAAATGGACTGATCTACTTCGTGGATGGAACTATGATCAGGAAGGTGGATCGTAACGGCATCATCTCCACGGTGCTGGGCAGCAACGACCTGACCTCTGCGCGACCTTTGACCTGCGACACCAGCATGCACATACGACAGGTAACACGCAAAGAGCGCCTACACCTGCAGAGCTTCTGTCTGTCTCATCTGGACATGAGGGGAGTCACACAAACACTGTCAGTGTACTGGTCTGACTTTCAGACGTGTCTGTCATCAGTGCCTTCTTTCTCAGCGCTGCCCAAGGAAAAGGTCCATCAGTGGTAATCTGTGTTTGTCACAACGCTATATCACTGTTACGCTTTACTGGAGCTAAATGTTTGCACTAAATGCTCTCCGTGTTGTGTGTGAATCATGGGGGGCAGTGCTGTGAAAGAGACAAAAGACAATTAAAGCAAGAATCTGTGGCTGACGTGCCATCAGAAGAATAAAGATCCCTTAAATCGTTACAGAGCACGGGTGGAAATGTGGTGACATTTACTGACTTTTCCTTCATTTATCTCAGACAAAGGAGGGAAACGCAAGAAGGACTTAGCGAGCATGTAGGAACGAGCAAGTCGTCCTCACACGTATTCATCTCCTTCCATTAAAGAAAAGGCAAAATCCACAACAGTCACTCAAATAACTAGAAACTGAAAAAAATAATAATAAATAAAAATGTGCTAAATTATAATTTAGTGAAATCAGACGTTGCTTTTGAATTGTGGTTGAAAAGAATAATTAAAAAAACAAAACTGTTGTGGACCAATGAGAGGCCTTTGCTGATGAGCAGTGGNGCAGTGGTCCAGAACACCTGTCAACAGGTGCAGAAGTCTGACTGAGAGTTACAGAAACACCTGATGGCAGTGATTGGCTCAGAGGGTTGTTCAGCTACATGTTAGTTCACGGCTCCCATCAGGCTGGTTTGCTTGTGTGTGTGTGTGTCTCTGTGTGTACATGTGTGTACATGTGTGTACATGTGTGTGTCTGTGTGTGCATGAGTTGCGGTGTCTGTTTTGTGGGCCGAGCATTGCGGTTAGAACTCTGACCACGTGTCCGTCTCTGCAGAACGTAGCTCAGTTTGACTTCTTGAGTCCACTGGTGGAATCAGATGAACCAGCATCCCACACACTGTCGGGTCACACGGCTCGCAGTAAAGATTGTCTTTAGTTGATCATCTATTTCCAGTGTGTTAATACACTCAGTGCTTTATGGTTAAATATTACAATGGGCTATGACTGTATCATTTGGACATTTGGACATTTTTTTGCCTCGTTATATCCTATCAGGGTTCAATCATGTGAAAACTGACCAGTAGATAGTGTGTGTGTGTGTGTGTGTGTGTGTGTTTACAAACATGCATAGTTGCATCATTTTTAAGTTGCAGTGAGGTACGGTTGTTTCTGAAGGCATTAGAACTGATGTGTAATTAAAAACAAGATTTCAGGCCCCAGCATCCTGTAACGAGGGTGCACAAGGTGAGGGATTGGCCGAACCAATAAGACACCAGACTTTTAGACTTCATGACGATATAAAAGTGTACAAGAGCACAAGTAGACTATTAAGCATGAGCCAGACCAGTGAGCCCTCTCACCAGTAACAGAAGCTGAAGTGGAACATCCTTGAAAAATTATACGAAATACACTCTTCATGCAAAAGCTGCATCAGCGTGCTTCTGACTTGTGAGAACTGGTGTTTCAGTATCTTCAGTGACTCTACAACCTGGTGTGCAGATATGGAGCTGCGTGAGTGAGAGGAGATGATAAATGTTATAGTTTGTACTGTATACCTGAATAGTAAATGGAAACCATGACTCCTGTATTCAAGAGTTTTTAACCCCTTTTACAGCAGAATGTGGACGCCGATATCGACTCAGTTACTGGTGGAATAGGTTACTCAGGTCTTTATTAAGGTCTTCATGGAAACATAGATTTAAAGGGTTCAATGACTGAACCAGGAAGTACAGCATGTATGAGTACTGAATAGCAAAACACATCATAGTTCAACGAGTCCAACTGAAAAACTCTGTCCTCCTCTGTCTGTACATCCAGGTTCGTCTAGAGTGGCCCACAGATCTCGCCATCAACCCCATGGACAACTCCATCTACGTCCTGGACAACAACGTTGTGCTGCAGATCACTGAGAACAGACAGGTATCATCTGCTCCAGCTGCTCCATGTGCTGCTGTTTGTAGTGAAACAGCTTCAACCAAAACATCCAAAAAAGACGGTTTTACTCAGTCTGAAGTCAGTCCATGTGTGTGTGTTCAGGTTCGTATCGTGGCTGGCCGTCCCATGCACTGCCAGGTGCCCGGTATAGAGTACACGATGGGGAAACGAGCTGTTCAGACCATGCTGGAGGGAGCTACAGCCATCGCCTTGTCCTACAGCGGCGTCCTCTACATCGCAGAGACAGATGAGAAGAAGATCCACCGTATCCGACAGGTAGTCTGCAGGAGTCCTACAGCACATGCATGCACACAGTTTGTCTGTCTGATGAATGTAAAGCCACGATAATGAAATTAGGGTTATAGCTGATCATATATCCCCGTTCTAGCCTTAGCTTGTGTCATTATCATGTGTTTTATTTAGATTTTATTTTTAGAAGTTTGTTTTAGTTCAAGGCTACCTTTGACTAATTACAATCTGGAGAGATGAGCGATGAAGATCCTGCTTGATGCTTTCAGGGTGCTCTTTTTGTTTCTGTGAAAGGGCAGCTTGTTGCTTTGCTCTTCTCTTCTCATCACTTTTTCTATCACCCCACTAGGTGTCAACTGACGGAGAAATCACCCATCTGGCTGGAGCGCCATCTGACTGTGACTGCAAGGTACTACAGCACATCCACTTGGTCCAATGTCACAGTACAGCTGCTGTGTTTGGCTCACCAGAAGCACTTAAGTTTAAATTAAACGCATTGCAATCAAAGAATGACGTGGATTAGATTACACAACATTTCTAATCTAACATTATTATGATTTCTTACTTATTTTCTGTCTCTGTTTGTTGCTGTCCTCTGTCTTGTAGAACGATGCCAACTGTGACTGTTATCAAACGGGAGACGGCTACGCTAAAGACGCGAGGCTTAATTGTCCTTCCTCTTTAGTGGTGTCTCCAGAGGGGACGCTGTATGTGGCTGATCTCGGAAACATTCGGATTCGAGCCATACGACGCAATCAACCACCGACCGGTACGTAACGGAGCTGAGTGCAGCGTCCCAGAAATGACTCCAAACTCTGTCACCTCTCACTTCATCCTAAGTTTTTGTACGATTATTTCGTCTTTTGTACCACAGCAATTTCCCAGACTGGGATAAATAAGGTATTTTTCTATTCTATTCTTTTCTAATTAAAAACAAACGCTCAACAGAGGCTGTGTTTAGAATACAGGCCCCAAAGTAGAAACCTGTTCGCCTGTGATCACTGACACGAAAACCTGTGATCACACAAACATAATTGAGTACAGCTGTAGTTTCCAATTAGTGTAATTACCTGGGTTGTAAAATCAGCTGTGAACACCGGATGAATTGAAAAAGTCTATTGTAAGTCTTCACAACAATAAAAAAAGGATACAGGAAGTTCTAAACAACAAAACAATCACTTTAACACAGTTCCTGGTACCGCCAGGCAGAGCCGTGGTGGCTGTGCTCCTTGTAGGAGCCACAAATGTTGTTTCTGAGTATTGATCCCGTAGTTTGTTGTATTTGGTTGTCATGGTGATGTGGGTGTAGTTGGTGACAGGTTGAGCTGTCCAAAAGGCTGACAGTCAGTCATGCGGTGGTTTATCCAGAGAGAGGAGGGCTGGGTAGCCGTAGTTTTTGTTGACCGCCACGCTTGAGTGACGAACGCGAAGCATACGTATAGTGTCTTTATTTTTTTTGACAAGTTTACTGCAGCCCAGGACTAATGCCTGCCAATCACAGATCACCTTTTTTTAAAATATATTTTTTGGGCTGTTTTGGCTTTATTAGATAGGAGAGAGAGAAAGAGAGACAGGAAAGTGGGGTAGAAGAATGGGGGACGGACCTGCAGTAAAGGGTCATGAGCGGGCCTCGAACACATGGCCGCTGCATCGGGACCTATAGCCCCTATACATGGGACGCCAGCTCAACCAGGTGAGCTATAGCAGCGCCTCCACAGATCACTTTTAATAAAAGGAGAGAAATACAGCCGATCTTTGGGTGTTATTCAGGAAGCGACAGCGCTTCATACAGTCAGACAGAAACCATCCTCGGCCTCTCCAGCCACTGTGGACGTTGCTAAACTCTCACAGACAATGCATAGTTTTTACAATCCACAATAGCTCCGTAAAGCAGACTTGGCTCGAGGTTTTAAGTGGAAATCAGTTTGTGTGACTGGTCAGACGGTGTGGAGGACATCGCACATCATCAGCGTCTATGGATGGCAGCCCTCAGTTGTTCTTCAGCACAAAACTGCAACATGAAACTTTAGGAGCACATTCTTTGGTCAGATGAGACCAAGATAATACTCTGTAATGGGATCCCGTGTACGTAGCATGAGCCTCACCAGGACTATCACACTGAATACGTAGTCTTGACAGTCAAGACTTGACGGAGGTGGGAGTGTGATGATGTGGGGCCGCATGAGTGCAAAAGGTGTTGATGACATTTCTCGATGAATGTCTGAATACTGGCTGACCAGATGGCCGCCAGAATCACACACGAGTCTCTAAAGAAAGTGAAAACTATGACCTGGCCAGGTGTGTCACAAGTCAAAGAGAACACAACAGGTGTGTTTTAAAGAGAGAGCAGCTGCCAAATGCATCTCTCTGGTAATGTAGAATCCTTATCGCTCAGGAGGACGGTCCTTAAAACTAACTAACTGCTTTTTTAATAAAGTCTGATATACAATATAATCTAAGCTGCTCATTTTAATTTTACATCAGAGCAAATACTCTACAGATCAATTTAAAAGCGCTGCAATGACTGAGAGGTGATACGGCATTTAGGTGATGTTCTACATACGTCTGCTGTAAAAGTCTAAAAGTGTTTACAGTTTTTTTGATTGCCTGAGACGAGGTTATGTAGCGCTGCATCTTTCTTCCCACTCCAACACAGACCTGATGTATGCACTCTGTATTGCTGGTGCTTTTATCTGAAAAAAAGTTCTGCGTGCAGTTAAAACGACCTGCAGAGCCGCTCCGCACGGTTATCATAGCAATCATCAGCAGTGCTCTGAATAGAACAGTTCTGCAAATAAGGAGATAATCCAACACGTGGCTTATTGCAATAGTAATATTCTTACTGAATGTGTGACTGTACATCCTCAGGCTCTCTGGCTTCAGGTCCCAGCTCCTACGAAGTCGCCTCCCCGGCCTCTCAGGAGCTCTATGTGTTTGATTCTAATGGAACGCACCAGTTCACCATGTCTCTGGTTACCGGAGACTATAAATACAACTTCAGTTACAGGTAGGTGGGAAATTAACACAAACATGAGCTGAGAAACAAAAAAGAGAATGTAAATGTGCAATACCCAGCAGAGCCTTTGTAATTGTAATTTACTTCTTCGCCGCCCGTGTTTGTCTCCGTCTTTGAAAACGCTTTTGACTTGGTTATTTTCCTCCCTCAGCAACGAGGAGGACGTAACCGCGGTGACAGACAGCAGCGGGAACACGCTCCGTATCCGTCGAGACACCAACAGGATGCCGGTGCGTGTGGTCGCCCCTGACAATCAGGTGAGATGAGTTTGCGATGCTGCAGGAGGAAAACGTTGGTTTTTAGATGCTTTAGCCCACATAAACACTGTGAGGCTGCAGCTGAAGAATCCTGTTTTCGATTCTCACAGAAGTCTTGCAAACAAAATGATCGAGAACACTGTATTACCGATACAAAATCAGCAAGCATGTGCTGATGTTTACTGCCAAACATACGACCGTACAGTCTGTACAGAGTGTAACATGTAATCCTGACGCCCGTGGCTGTGTGTCCACTTGTGTGTGTGTGCAGGTCATCTGGCTGACCATCGGGACTAATGGAGGTCTGAAGACTCTCACAGCTCAGGGTCAGGAGCTGGTCTTGTTTAGTTACCATGGCAACAGCGGCTTGCTGGCTACCAAGAGCATCCAGATCGGCTGGACTACTTTCTACGAGTGAGCCGTGTTGTTGTGTTTATGTCTGAGTGCGTCACGTATGTACGGCTGTGTGCTGAGGACTGATGGACGTCCTGCTACAAGTGCGTCGACCGTATTACCCCGATGGTTTGTGGAACTGAGAAATGATGGAGAATTGCACATTTACATGACTCCTCTGTCAAAAAAGCATAATGATATGATCTATATGGTCTCAAGCACTGTTAGGTAAGAAGCTGGCCGTGTGTGTGTGTATGTGTGTGTGTGTGTGTATGTGTGTGTGTTATGCAGATTCAGGTGTTTTTTGCAGGTATCCACAGAACACATTACCCTAATGGTGACCAATGGCCTTTCACCCCCCCTCCCTCTCCCCCCCTCTGTCCTTGTAGCTACGACAGCGAGGGCCGGCTGACGAATGTGACCTTCCCCACCGGCGTGGTAACCAATCTCCACGGCGACATGTCGTCGGGGGCTGTTGCCGTGGACATTGAGACATCAGGAAGGGATGAGGACGTTTCCATAACAACCAACCTGTCATCGATAGACTCCTTCTACACTCTGGTGCAGGGTAAGGTGCTCGCTCAGGCGTGTGTGTGCGTGACAGAGCGAGGGAGAAGAGACGTTGTGTGAAAGAAGATATTTCATTATGTGAATCCTACATACTGACCTTATTTTTGGTAGTTGCTGTATTGATTAGAGGTCATGTTCTACTCATGATGGAGTCCTTCTACAGATATCCTGCTGTGGGACTGAAAGCAAAAAAATAACGCCCATGAAAACACAACTCTCTCGCTTTGGAGGCGCTCATATCGATTATGCTGCTACATATAAGCCGTGGAGTGCAGATATTTATTAAACTTTTAGGAAATAGTTGAGCAACAACTTTAGCTCTGATTAATGTTTTGTCCAGATTGCATTCGTCGCTCTTGATCTTCATTCATCTGACCCGTGTCCATCCCTGTAGAGTCGTGTTTTCTTTCCTGGGCCTTTCGGTTTGTAATAGATGTGAAATTGGAGAGCAAAGTTAAAGAGGCAAAACTCATGTGAAAGATATGTTTGTGGTTTTGGAGAGGCGCCTACAGCAAGACAGGCAAACTTTTGGTGCTCTGTGGGATGTTTTTGGACCGATGCGGGCTTCGTCTTGTCTGCAGAGAAAAGCCTGTTCAACATCTGTACCTCTGGGTTTTTTCATAATATGGGATATTTGAGGTTTCCTTCTTTGGTGGGAGAATGTGAGAGTGTGTGACAAAGACTGAAAGCAGATGCCTCGTGCCAAAGCGTGAGCAGTGGCAACCTTGCAGGCTTGAAGGACTCGTTAGCATACCTACTGCCGTCTCTGCCAAGGCAGCTAACTACACAGCTGAAGTCACAGAACAATAGCTATCCACAGCTAGCCTTTGTATTCAAAGTTGATGAGCAGAAGACACAGAGAGACAGTTGACTGCTCGGTTAAAGTCAGATCTCTTTATGGAAAGTGTTTATTATGAGGTTCAGTGTTCCACAGTGTGGATGAAGAAGGACAAAAAAGCATAAGCCAGAGGTGCCATCTCTCTGTGTTGGTTGTAAAGCATCCTGTAAATCTCACATTGAGCATTTTAAATTACTTTGATGTAGGGAAACAGGAGTGTTTTATAGTGATGCTGGAAAACATGCGGTGATGTGGACGTTTTCTGATTTGTTGATTCATGACAGTAGCTGGTCAGTGTATTAAAAACGTTCTGCTGCTGTTTGTCGGTGCTGAACAGCCTCAAAGGTGTGATGACAGCGACCCGCTCCAATAGGACGGCCCTGATTGGTTCTGTGTGGTCGAGGTTTGAAAACTGCAGTGAGTGCATGCAGCTATATCTCTAGTGAGTGCAACTTGGGCAACACCTAATGTAAAGTTCTACCAGTAACGATCATCTAAACCATCCTGTAACGTATAAAAAGCTATATTTAGAAAATGTTTGCTCTCCCCTTCATCGGATTTGTTTTCTGCGGATTGTGTCAGAATAATTTACACCAGCACCTTGTACACTGAAAGTAAGCCGTCTGTATTTTAAACCTTTTAAGAAGAGAGGAAGCGTGCGAGCTGTAAAGCCAGGATTGATCTACCAGTGCGTCGTCTCTCATAATTCTAGATTTGAAAACGACAAAAGGGAAAAAAAAAAAATCGCAGCGTTCTCATCCTCCCTCATCCCGGAGACGTTCGAGTCTAAACAGCAAAGGGAAACTATAATTCAGCGCTGATGCTCTTGTTAAATCTGAACTAATGAGCCGGTTGAAGTGAGGCCTCGAGTGGCCGGCAGTGATTTGTTTCGGAGTGTACATGTGCCCGGAGCGTGAGGGAAAACAGAGCGGATTCTCCCCCACAGCACAGCACTATTGATTGAAATGTAATAAGTTATTCAAAGCCATTGACAAGCGCAGTATTCCTCTCCATCAAGTCGTGTACATTATTTATCGCTTCGCCTCCTCGCTAGCGTCCAAACTGCACGGCATGTGTGCAAACCGATCTGCGGAATATGAAATCACATTAGGTGGAGCTGGAGGCCAGAAGTGGTACGCCAGCTAACACAGCCACTGATGTTGTTGTTGATTGCCTTGAGAAGAAAGCAGCTGAACATGGAGGTAATGCAGAGTTTGACAATCAGCGAGGACCAATTCTATAAACGCTCCTGCTATTTCCTTACAATTCATAACATGTTTTTAGCTTTCTTCTCTGCTGGAACGCTGATGTGAAGTGAAGGATGAGCACCACCCAGCAGATAGCCCACAACACGATCAGAAAACAGCCCTGCAGTTCATTCACCTTTGAACAGATTTAAAATGTCTTTGTGATGAATTGTTTGATCCACGTTAATAAGGATCTACCAAACAATCGAGTGTGTTTCCTGTTTTCCTCACATCTTTTTGGTAAATCAAACTAGAGAGTCGATGAGAGCCCTCGTGGAAGATTTTCCTTCTTCTACTTTTAAACAAGCAGTAGTTGTTCTAAAAACATGAAAAAAATAAAAATAATTACAAATTAATTGGAGTGGAAACTGTTTGGACTCATTTAGAAGATAGGAGGATGTGAAATATGATGCGCCGTCAGATGTGTAGATGTTTTGTTTTTTATGGGCCCTTTGGGGGGAAAAAAGAGGCAATAAATTAGAATAAAAAGCTTTTGCCAGGAAATACTTTGATCAGTTTAAAAAGAAAAAAAAAAAACAGAAAACTGTCACCTGACGAGGAATCATTTGCCAGAATGAAGTAAAATGTGAAAGTAATCCAGAGAGGCTGCTCCCGGTGTCCTGTTTGCACATGCATGGTCATTAGTCCTGCCAGAGGTCAAGGGGAACCTAATTAAAGGAGGCTGCAGGATGTTAATACCTGCTCTGTGCTCCATTAGCCGGTTCAAACGCTGCCCTCAGAAATGTACTGAACTGTTTCTCTCTTCACATTTATCACCTCATCGCTCTCTCTTCCACATTCTTGCTTTCCTGTCTTGAAAGTTGGGTTTGGTTCCTGACGTGTCTTTCTCTCTACAGACCAGCTTCGTAACAGCTACCAGGTGGGTAACGACCATTCACTGAGGGTCATCTATGCCAATGGGATGGACACACACTACCAGACGGAGCCCCACATACTGGCAGGTATGCAGCTTGGAGCACAATGTGTCAGAATGCTTCTGTTACACTTTAAATCAGTTGTTAAATGATCGTGGTTTACACAGTGCAGCGTGCAGGCCCTAAACGCTCGTGAGCTATAAACTGCTCAGTGCCCGACGCAGCAGATTTCCATGCAAATGGTTTTCAGCCAAGAGATTTTGTGTCACACGCTGTGCCCTTTTCTTTGAGATGGCAGTCCAGCTCTCTGCAGATAAACACCCTCTGATGGGCCTGTTTGGGAAAAGGATCATAGAGGGGCGTCAGTGTCGTGTTTTCAGATGTTCGTCTCCGACACTCCGTCATGACTCAGTGGTTTCAGCTCGCAGTTTGATTTTACACATTAGGATCAGATTTGCATCGCCAGGATTACAAAACATCACAATTTAATGCATTTAATAAGCCATACAATTCACATGTGAGTGTGTTTACTGCTAATCATCAACCGTTTGACTTCTCAGTGGTGTTCATGGCCTGCATATATTCTGGTCCTAGCTTTGTGGAAAGTATGCTGCAGGCAATTTCACAATAAACATGTGATTTATACTCTTTTATTAATGTCTAATCTCTGTTGCTTGCCTGGCAATGCGTTTGCAGCTTCCAAAGTACAGCCGTAGAACTCTGACAACCATCAGTCCAGAGAGATGCTCACAGTGTCTGATGTAAATCACAGGGACTCAAACTCAGCACTCAGCTGACTTGATTCCAACATTCACACAAACAGCAGTCGTGTGTAAACCCACATTTAATTGCCAGTGTTGCTTGTTTTGTTTTGCATATTCTTGTTTAGATTTTTTCATCATAAAATGTCACTGGAGGCTGCCGCTATAGCTCACCTGGTTGAGCTGGCCACCCATGTAAAGTGGCTATAGTCTCCAGCGGCCGTGGGTTCGAATCCCGCTGATGGCCCTTTGCTGCAACCCTTCCCCCATTCTCCTCCCCCAATGTCCTGCCTCTCCTTCAACTGTCCTATCTAATAAAAGGCAAGAAGGCCCAAAAAAATAACTTAAAAAAATTAAATAAAATGTCACTGGGGTTCACATCTTTGTCACGTCCTCGTAGGTGCTGCTAACCCAACTATAGCCCGGCGCAACATGACCCTGCCGGGAGAGAACGGCCAAAACCTGGTGGAGTGGAGGTTCAGGAAGGAGCAGACCAGAGGAAAAGTCATCGTGTTTGGGAGGAAGCTCAGGGTGAGTGCTCTCACACCTTCTTCAGCTGAAAGTGGGAAGTTATAATTATATTTATAGTAGAATTAATGCTAACACTTTACGTCTACTTCCCGCCACCAGCGCCTGCATTTAGCATTTCCAAGCAGGAGGTAGACGTAAACGCAGCACCTTCAGCACGTTCTGGCTGCGAGGCGTCACCGTCTGTCGCTGTGACCACTGTGAGCGGTGTGAAGTTGTATCTGTTGTTCTTACACGCTATTAGAAAAGAAGGAGCAGTGATTTGTCTGCGGTGCTTGAATATTACATGAAGCACTCTCTAAAGAGCCCGGCTTAATAGGGAGAAACGTGTGCAGTCATATGGCCTCTGGAGAGTTTGATCCACGCGGCGGTGCCACTTCAGCATGGTCCAATAAACCCTAATGAATGTAGCACCGTGTGTGGTCCACTTGTGGTAATGGGGAGTGATGCATTGTGAGCTCGCAGTAACGACTCGCAGGTAGATGTGTTTTCATAACTGGCTGTGCAAAGGTGGGCATAAATGCGAAGCGCACGCTGCACAAGAATCCGTCTTCACTAACGCGGAGACGGTCCAGCTGTCTCGCAGGCAGCTACAAGATGCCAATTTAAGGCGGTAATGATGATGGGGTAATTGTGGCGCTCGATGAACACCAGTGAACTTTAATCCAGCCTTTCTGCTAAATGCTAATATTCACACTGTTTTTATTGTGCTAATCCTGCTGAGGACTGTACATTGTGCAGAAGATGCCAGTTAATCACAAACTGCGTGTTTAAGCAGCTTGTTGGATAAAACAATGAAAGACGAGAGATGTCAACGCCGGCAACTTTAGTGGAATGATAAGTGGACCGTGTGGGACGGCTGCTGATGGGGGTTCTAATCTCTGGATGCATTCGTTTGGTTTCATGTATGGATGACAGACATGGAACACACTCGCAGGGTGTTCTCGCCAGCTCAGCAGTGAAAGCACTGAAGATGCTCGTCTTGAAACGATCTCATGTCCAGCATTGACTGGTGCCGGATCGAACTGTTTTTGTAATTATACCAATAATATATTAACGATGCAATAAAAACAATCTTTTGTTTCCTCAACCAGGTGTTCACCTCCAATTTAAACCTCAGAGCTAGGTCTAAAATTAACACTTGCGATGAATGTTGGCCAGTTTTTCCAAAGCATCCTCACTCTAAAGGTGAATTACCTGAATTGCTTCTCACAAAGATGGAAGTACAGGTTCACTCACGTATGAGGTAGTAGGGAAGGCGACAGGATGGGGGGAAAATGGGCAGATAAACAATTTATGTATGTATGTATGGTGTGAGGACAGCAGCCGTGCATCTCTGGTGGAAAGAGGAAGTGGATAACGGATAGGTTTTGCTATGAGAAGAGATGTAAGTCGTGTGAACTACAAAGATCCAGCGAGGATTCCAGCACAGCGAGTAAAGACTAAATAAGTAACTGCCCCAGCATGTGCCCAAATTGGCTTGTGATTCGTTTAATGGCCACACCTGCAGTTGTAAATAAGGACTATCAGAGGAGAATTAGAGTCCTGTTTTGGCGGTACGCTGAAATGAAAGTCACAGTTTGCTTGGATCCACATTAACATGGTACGCCATGCCAATCTGCGAAATGATTTGTTTCCCCCAGATATGGGGTGGCTCGGGCTCCGCGTGGCTTTTGGCCGTCGTCCAGACGGTCTTGTGTTTTATCCAGCTGGCTGCTAGCCACCGTCCCAATACCCTCCTTCTCTGCCCTCCTTTATTCACCTCGCTGCATTCAACTGGTGCTAATTTACAAATGAATGAGTGTCTGAAATGAAAAGATGAGAAAAATGACTCTTGAACGTTTTCCAGCAAGACTCTCTCTTTAATGAAACAGGTCTGTAAAACAATTGATTGGCCAATTTGTGGCATTTTCCGTTGCTTCGAGGATCCATGAGGTGAGTTTATCACCGGACCGCGGCCATCCGTCTTCGTAAATCGGAGTTTGAACAAACAGCACATCATTTAGAAAGCGATAAAAACTGGCTCGCTGGCGCCGTGATGCTCCGGTGTTTTATGGGTCCTGGTCGCAAGTTTGTTTTAATTCACTGACGGAGGCACGGCGTCCAATTGAACAGCCAGTTGTTACCAAGAATTTAACACCTGATGTTGTTTATTGCTCGTTTGTTTGCTCGGCCAGGTGGCT